AAAAAGAAGAGAAGTGCCTCAGAACTACTTTCTCGCGTGCTTCCTGCAGATTAGAGTAGAGTCATAACGTATAGTGCTTAGGGTGTAGGGTACTCTATATTGATATGTGACTATATGTACGTACATATCTACGTTTAAGAATATACAGTTTCAAGGTTCGGAATCTAGACCTTATGTTTTGAGGTCTAGGATGAACGGGTATGTCGAATATATATATATATACAGATACACATACCAATATACGTAAGAAGTTTAGGGTTTATAGTTTGAAGGGCTTATAGGTAACACATAGTGACGAACAAACAAGATTTCCATATACACCTTGGGGTCCCAAGTATGCATCTCATAGAACCCTAAACCCTAAATCCTAAACCCTAAACCCTAAACCGCGTCATGGATCCTTCGGGAGCCTGGGAATTTCTTCAAAAACTAGGATGGGATTGTCGAGATTGTGGTTGCTGTTATAAGGAATTTAACCAAGTTACCAGACTATGGGCATATGAGCTATAGTCTAAACTCCTAGTATCCCCCTTAGTAACCCCTATCGTAGTCCGCTATATAATCCCCTATATAACCCCCTTTAAGGAGTTTAGACTATGGCTCATATAGTAAGTAATAGGGCTCCCTTGTGATAGCAAGTAATATATAGCGTATTTTAAGTTCCTCAACAGCGACCCAGGATTTTCCCATGGTGCTGAGGAATATGGGGATTCCGAGAACTAAACGAACCGCTCCATGGATTATAACAACTTTTCTGCGGATTGAAGCTATGATTCCCTGGACTTCAAAATTGGGCAGCGTTGATGGCCAACCACCAACCAAAAAATAGCCAGAAGGCGATTATTCTACACACTTTTGCAGTTCAGATAGGGAGTTTGGAGATTAGTTGAGGCAATGTGAATATTTCGAAAAGATGTACCAGGATTTTGTGAGGCTTCAAGGGACGACTGTAGGATTTAGGCTATAGGGTTTAGGGGTTCGGGGTTTACAGGGAACGGCCTCCATAAGTGGCATAGAGCTGCCAATCAACGTCACCTCGCATTGGGATTTACTGCTGGTGCCGGGGTTTGGTAGTTTCCATAAAAAGGGGAGGCCCCAATGTAGACCGACCCGTAATAAGGTACTCCTAAGTTTGGGAAACGCGGTTTGGCTCTGGGATTGAAGCGTGGCTAGCTGGCGTGCTCGTCCTAGGGTGCAGACTTCCGAGGATTCCCAGAATTAGGGGTACCTTTATGGTGGTCTCTATGACAAGAACGGTAATATTCGGAGGTCTTTATTGGGTTCCCCCTGTTTTGGGAAAGTGCCATTTCCGTGCAGAGCGCATGAAGCAATCCCTGAGTCTTGCTAGGCACTACCATCAACTAGCGCGCAGTCAGGCCCCCAAAAACCAAGAAAAAATAGCAAAGCCGCGAAACACACAGACCCTAAACCCTAAAGCACAAGCCACCGGCACCGCCGTAGTGGAAGACGGAATACGTTCCTTTGTCATATAGGTCGAACTCATTTCCGTCCAAAGTGTGAATGTGGGGATCTCCCACCACACCTCCACTCCTTGGTCGTTGAATACACTCCTGCTAAATCAGTACGTGCTGCAGACTCTTAAAAAAAAGGACGCTTGTTGGGACCCTGGTGACATGTGAGTATTTCATACAACAACCCCCATGTAATCCCCGTCAGGAAACCGCCATTAAACCCCCCATAGCTTATAAACCATGCATATGCTAGGTCCTTAACCCTAAACACTACACCCTAAACCCCGAGACCTACCCATGTGGTTATGAGAGCCCTACAACGGATCCTTTTCGGGCAATTTGCAACAAACCCTGGCAGGTTCATGGAGCCAAAACAGAGAGTCCCTACCCAGGGGCTCCTATGCAATTCCTTTGTTGGGGTTTGCTGTAGTGTTTTAGTAAGGGATTATAATATACTACCCAAAGAGGAACGACATTGGAGGTTCTGGCTAGAAACCTTTAAGCAAACGGGGCTTGAGGTCCTTGGCTTGGAGTTTCTGGCCTCGGGAGGTTACTGGGACTTCGTTATTACTTCTGACGGGTGTATAACCGGATGTTTACTTGGAGTAACCTCTATAAGTGCATATAACGGAAAAATGAATAGGGTTACATTCCTAATTCCCAGCGAAATGGAGGTACATACAAGGAGGCATGAATCTCCAAGTATATTTGATAACTGCAATGTCTGTACGCCTGCTCGCAACTAAGCCTCCCGTCGCAGCAGCCGAACTGAATAGCAAAGTTGCTCAGGTCTCGGATGTTGTTCGGGTTGTTGCTGTTGGTGGCCAAGCTTACAACGCAAAACTTGTCCGGAGCTGTCCACTTGGTGCAAACCGTTTGGTCCACCTGCGAAGTGTTTAGCTGTAACTCAGGTTGCAGTCTAAGAATGTGTGACAGTTGAGGCTCTGCGCATTGAATGTGATCTTACCCTGACTCCAGCTGCACTACCAGCCTGACTACTGAAATAAGTCCCAGCCTTGCCATTGGAAGGACCACCGTTTGTGCCACAGGTCTGCTTGCCAGAATAGCAGAAACGACCGGCCCCGCTGTTCGGGCTCCCGCTCTTGACGCAAATCCTGAGATTTGTGGGGCTCTGGGAACCCTGTATCGGGGAAATAGGGTTTAGGGCTCTAGCTATGTGGGGCGTAGATAAGCACTATAGTTGTGGTTCTGGGATGTAGGGTTTAGGGTATCTGGGGTTCTGAAAATTCGGCAACCGTCCCTATCCCCGCACACCCCAAAATCAGCACCGCCACTTCCAAAACGTTTTGGCAACTACATGATATAATATGCTCGCTCCCCAAAAAAACATTACATGAGACCCGCACTCTTGCCGTGTGTATATACGACACTATACACTCAACCCTATAAACCATACATCCCAAACCAATACACAGATGACTGTATGAGCTGATTTCATTTGTATACCAGAGACCTACGCAGGATCGTTGGAAAAGAACCCCAAAACCCCTAAACCCCTAAACCCTAAAACCCTAAACCCCAGAACCCCTGAACCCCTAAACCACTTAACCCCTAAACCCTAAAACCCCTTAACCCCTAAACCCATGAACCCCTGAACCCCAGCCCAGCAGCTGCACCGGGCAAATGCCTTCAGGAACGGTGAAGCAAAAGCCGGCTTCATCTGGGTCAAAGTCAACCTTTAGGGCTTGGGTTTTAGGGATTTAGGGTTTAGGGATTTAGGGTTTAGGGATTTAGTGTTTAGGGATTTAGGGTTTAGGGATTTAGGGTTTTGGGCTTAGAGTTTAGGGATTAGGACTTAGGGTTTAGGGCTCGGGCGTATAGGGTTTGAAAGTAAAGAATGCAGGCCACTAGATGGACACCGGCTAGGGTGTACGGCAAACCACAAAAAGTCGATCTGCGCTTTTTTGTATGTGTACATATATACAGTCCAGATGAGGTTGTACATGTGTACAGATAGGGTTTAACGTTTGGGGTATATGGCGTATACTCAGCTGTTCCCATGTTCCCATGTAATTGCTCTGGGGCGCAAGTTTATACTACATAGCTACATGGGGTTTTGGGAACGTAAGCAACAGATAGATCTCCCCAAGTCTAGGGGTTCAGCGCTTCGGGCTGAAAGCCCGGAAAACAAATAAGGAATAGAGATGGCGGCATCCCACTTAGAGCTTGATACAGCCAACCCCCAGAGAGTACGGATATCACCCCATACATCAAATACGGACAGAGTCCCCCTTAAGTACATAGAATGTGTGGCAATATGGGGAATTGATTTTAATATACCCAAATCCATGTTCCATCTACGCTTGAGAGGGACTACAGGTGTTTCTTTCGATTCCCGCGCCTTGGCCGTGGTCCATGTTCCTGCAACTGGGTAAGGCTTGCAGGGGTTCCTGCCATTTGTTTCCGAGAACCAGCACCTTACTTGCTGTTTGTAGAGAAGGGTAAGGAATAGAACGGGAAGTCGAAAGTGCTTCATTGTGGGCAGGGGTTATGTAAGGCCCAGTTGAGGGAGCCAATAGAAATTCGCTACTAGCAACCAGCAAGGCACTTACCCCGGTCGTCTCCATCATCGAACTTGGTGTGGGTGCAATCTACACCGCTCGTGGTCTTGCAAACCTTGTTGTCAGTGAACTTCTTCTTGCAAGTTGCATCACTGGGAAGCTCCGCAGTTGACGAGCCAGCTTGAAAAAAAGACGGCTTCACACTTTGTTGCGCTGAGCTGTGCTGCAGCACGCAAGATAAATCCTTGGTCGGTCAGGCTTGGAGAATGCAGTGCCAATACTGCCGCGGGCAATCACAAGCCCCTAGAGGTACCAAATACCCAACAAAACTAGGAGCGTTAACCCTTCAAAATGGGACTATGAGCTGCTGCTGCTACTGCTGCTACTACACCACTACTACTACTACTACTACTACCACTACTACTACTACTACTACTACCACTACGACTACGACTACGACTACGACTACGACTACGACTACTACTACTACTACTACTACTCCAACTCCTCTACTTCTACTACTACTATCACACTTTAAACTTTGTAAAGAGCACCAGGAGCGTTTCAACAGCAGCAATGGGCTGCTGTTGAGGAAGTCGGACGGAGTCACACATACACGGAAACCCTATCATGTACTATGTACTACATTTGGAGATTGCTAAAACTAGGGGTGCCATTTTGGGGTCCATATAATAAGGACCATAATCTATTGGGGTCTATATTCGGGCCCCCTTATTTAGGGAAACTACCATATCCATTGTACGGGATCTCATCTAAGCTTCTTAACAACGGCCCGGACAAGCTCGCTGTACCGCCGGACTGAGGAGTAGGATCAGGTGGATAGCGCACATGGACTTGAAGCAGGAGGTGTTTTTTGATGTGCGACGGTACGGAGAAAGAAGGAAAGGAAGGAAAGAAGAAGGCAGCAGAAACAAGATGAAGAAAGACGTGCGAGACAGATGCAGAGATAGAGAGAAATATAAAAAAAAAGACCGGCAGAAACAAAAGAACAAGCTAAAGAAGAAAGACAGCAATGTTTGATTTCCAGCATCCAGCCAAAAAAATGGTATTCAACACCTTGTGGATACTTTCTGCAGCTTCAGGACAAGCCTCGAGACATGCACTTTGCAGCGAGACTTGAACAGGGCCCTGCAGAAACACTCTGTGATTGGGCACTATAGGGACACGTTACATGAAGGAATGCGGCTGGGCACTCCTCTTGAAGACGGTGACGAGGTGAGGACAAAGCGCTACCTCAAAAGAAGAGTAGCCCCACCGCAGTGTGAGGAAAATCGCATGACCTCTCTTGCGAGGGTGGCTGTATGTGCCACATACCCGAAAGTGCCGACAGTCTGAGCACGCGCTCCCGGTAAGGGGCATGGACAGAGCGACGGCAGATCAATGAAGACTCAGACAAAACTCTACAATGTGGGTCCATTGTACCAAAGTTAGATAACGGTTCTAAGGGGATAATGTCACGATGATGTCCGTAAGTAACCAGGCCTCTACAGAATAAACCACCCCAAAACGGGAAATCAAAAGCACCTTCAGTGACCAAGCGTCCTGCTCCTCGGCCCAGGAGCAGGCCAGGAAGACTCCAAGCCAGATTGATCTTGCCATGGTCAGGGAATCTTGGGGGAATCAGTTCGGTAACTTGAAAAAAATGGCTGCAGCAGACGGCGGACATCTTGTGGAAGAACTTCAACATTTGTTTTACAAAAAATGGCTGCGCCGGAAGGTGAGGGCTCTTGCTATACACGTGTATGTACGTATATCTGTATAAACACATATTTTGACAACTTAAGTCAAGGTCCTCAACAACACCCCAGAAGTAGGTTTCCTTCGTGCATGCAGCAACTGGAGCCTCACCAAGTTGAGGTTAGTGGGCCTCAGTAGCCGCTTACAAGTTATAACCCTAGCCATAATTGGGGCAGCCTCCCTAAGGCCAGCTAAGTCCAGCGAACCTCCAAATATAGTCTTTCAAGGGAAGCACATCGGATAAGGCCCGGTCACAAAACCACCACCGCAATCTGCGGCCAAAAATAACTGAAAAGGCACTTGTCAAAGCTATCACTTAATGCTGTCGTAGATAGAGTTCAGATCATTGGCCACTGTTGCCTGATCCACTGATGGAATCACTACTTTCCTGAACTGCTGTTGAGATACTTGTACTAGGCTGCCTGACCGTGGATAGATAGCAAATGGCATGTTCCCCTGTCGAACAGGTAGTTGCGTTGAGGTCTTAACAACCTAACTTGCAGCTCTGAGCCTGTAGGCTCAAGTTGGTTCTTGCAGACTGGAGTCTGTAGCCAAGGGCTCTTCATTAGTTCCTTTTTGGGTTTGTGGTTTTTGGGTATGAGATCTTTTAAATATAGGAGCTGCATGGGAGGCTTTAGGCGTCGAGGTTCTCCGCATTTGAAGACTGAAACGTAATTTCTGTTTATGATTATCTTCATGGTTGCTATGACTGTTAGTTACGGCCGCTGGTATTACTGGTATTCTTACTGATGCTGCTGCCTTCAGCGTATTCTTATTGTAACTACTTTCTGGCTACTCTCAATCTCACGACGGCTACTAACCCGACTATTGTTTCATGGTTAAGTTATTACTATTGCTCTTTTAACTTCTCCACAAACATAGACGACCAAGTTCAGGAATGCTACTAGAAGGACGGCGGGCGATATCATGTAAGGTGAAGATTGGGTCAATCCCCCGCCCCGTAATGGGTACCACAAGGGACTGTTGTAAGTATATTGAGGCCCTGTTCACTCCCTAAACCCTAAACCCTAAGCCCTAAACCCTAAATCCTAAGCCCTAAACCCTAACCCCCAAATCCCTAAACCCTAATTGCTGTAGAGGGGATTGACCTGAGGTGAACACCATTTCTGTCACTGTAGCTGGCTACCCTCGTGGTTCCCGGTATTCAAAGCCATTCAGAACACGAGCTTCAAGACTGTGACGACTACTAGCCAGAATTACGGTTGGGTTGAGGGTTTAGGGTTTCGGATTTTTTGGCGCATGAATCCCAACCCTACCATCCCTAAACTGTTGGAAAAAGTCAGCCCCGGGCCAAAAACTGAGATCCGCAGAGAGGTCCATGTTGTGGCCATCCTTGCCACTGCCGCGAGCTAGGCTTAGGGCCACTTGACGTCATGGCTGGAAGGCGCACATTTAGCAGATTGTATTTTTCACTTTCCCAGCACAAAACGAGGCATTCGAGTGTAGAGTCCTCCTTAAGTAGATAGAGTATGGCTTTGGATATATTATAATAAGGTCCCCATAAACCCCATGTTCTATCTTCTTAACAGGGTCTATAGTATAATAGGGGTGGGCCTGCTGAAGGCATTAGCCTCGTGGTTTGGGAATTCTGGAATTCTGGATCAAGAAAACGGTATCTAAATCTTGTTGAGGGGGAGGTGCGCAAGGTTCTCTGGGAGTCCCCTAATTACCAGTGCCTGTAAGACTGTTGGGTGGGTCTTAGGATGAATGTAACCCAAAACCCCCCTCAAAAAAGAGGAAATTCGAGGTCCAGGCAGTCTGCCCCCACCCAGTAACAGTTTATACTGGCATATGAAGGGCTGTATAGTAGTTTCCCCATATAAACCCTCAAATACCAGAATCCTTCTTGTACCCCAAAAAAGGTACCCCTCATTGTGGGAAACCCTCATATACAAATGTAAACATATTACAATTATTGTCCAGTTGTCACTGAGGGGGCAGCATCCAAAGTATAGGGTTGGAAGCTTCTCAGCTCAAGGATTGAAGGCTTCGGGTTTAGGGTCTTTGGGTTTAGGGGTTTAGGGTTTAGGGGTTTAGGGGTTTAGGAGTTTAGGGGTTTGGGGTTTTAGGGCTTCAGGGTGTAGGGTCTAGGGTTTAGGGTTGAGGGTCAGGGCTGCCATATCTGCCCCTGTATGAACTTGAAGAGTTCTTCAACAACAGTGCCCAGCATGCCTGTAGCGCGGTGTCTACAAAAAGTCCTAAAACACACATTGGGTCCCAGGCTTAGGGTTTAGGGGATGCCTTAGGGACGGTGAAACATATGCATTATGAAGCGGCTGCGCATGGGATTGTGAAGACATGAGTTTAAGTTAAGACTCTCCCATAATGCCAGATGTTCGTTCTGACTATTCGGGCTTCCATGCAAATGTCAGCAGTCTGTTCTTGTAAGAAATGTGGTCAGGTAACACGTGTGGAACTTTGAGATGTCTTTGCAAGTAAGTACACTCCTGGAAACAAACATGGCAACCCAAAAGGGGCCCTAT